GGTTAACGTATAGCATCGCTGTGTGATCCTTGTTTGCTAGTACCATGGTAAAGTCATTTTTGCCACGATTCATCATATGGTTTACTAATAATTGATCTAGTAACAAGAAAAGCAAATTAACAACACAAATCATGTTACATTTATTTACCTTTAGTTAACTTGTTAATGTTATTTTCTATCTGAGCAAGTTTGTGATTGAAAACTATTAAAATCATCCAGATAATACACGAATATGACCAATATGAGGTGAATAAAATTACAGTATTTATACTTAGTATGCAACTAAAAATAGTAATTTTAGCTTGTATATAACTCATTATAAGAAAGTTACAAAGAATTATTACTACAACTAACCAAACGCTTAAGAGTGTAAGTAATTTTACCCTTATTTGATTAAAATTAATTTGCATATAGATCAATTTTTCTATTACATTGATGTCTAGTTTAACATTAACATGGTAAACTATTAAAATATGCAAGATGATTGCTAAAATATATTCTACAATATTTATGATTAACATATTTACATAATCTACATGTATCTGTGTTCTAATTATTGTATAGTGTACTAAGCAAATGGATATAACCATATAAAATAGTACAAACAAAGCAAAATAACAATAACCATAATATTTAATACATGTGTTTTGCCGTATATTAAAGTCCCGATCAATGGATAGACCGTTAAATGTTAGGCCAATAATGCGATGAAACCAAAGCAATGGTCGTATCGCTAGACGTAATAATTTATTAATAAACATATTTAATTTAAATTAAATTAAACTTCACAATCTATTTTTAAAATATTATAAACTTTAGTTTTAATATATTACTAGTAAATAACATGTAATTTTAATATATTATTTGAAGTAGTATTAGTATTTATAAAATTTATATAGGTATTGTAACAACTTAAATAGCCATGTAACATGTAAAAATAATTAATTTCCTATTATTCAAAAAATATTTTCAGTAACAAACTAATTATTTTGTTTACTGGTTTCACATAATAGAAATAAATGACCATGCTAATTTTATTAAAATATAGTTACTTTTTCTATAAATTCTGAAAGGTAGCATGTAGTTACAGATAATAAGTTTTATTTTAATTATTTTTTTAACACAGAATTAATTCTTTTGTTGTCAATTTGTGATTGATAAAATAATTAATATACTGCATATAATTAATTACTTTGTAATAAATTATATATTTACAACATATACATAATTAATGTGAACAAAAAAACGTGGGTTTTAAAATTACACAATTATTATTATAATAACTTATTCTTTGATTACAAAGAATATATTATTATATAATATTTTTTTAATCAAATGTCATAGGTACATTAAGAACAATAAAATCTACTGTTGTACTTATAAATTATTATTTAATTACAATAGTACATGTCTCTTTCTTATTAATTATTATTATTATTTTATGCAATAATATTTTGTTAGTTACATGATATAATATCATTGATATTAGTTAGTTTTCTAATTAACATAGAGGCATTTTTTGAATCAAAATGTTTGTTATTTGAAAATATATTGAATATTATAATCAATTAAAAATAATAGTCTTTCCAAAAACTATCGCAGGTTTTTATAAATGGATTTGTCAGAACCATGGTCATATTTCTCGGATCCAAGTCACGTACATTTACCGTATTGTTAGCAGTTAGCATACGGGGCCATATATCATCTGGTTTTCTATCATGTATAAATAAAATAATTTAATAAAATGTCAATTACTTCATATAAGTTACCCAGTTTTTGCAAACGTGGTCCACATATTCATAATATCAGTGCTAAACTCCCTGTCCATAGGAGTATAACCAATCAAATCAGTATATGGTATACCAAATACAAATGATAGATCAGCGCCGTGACAAATGCCCATGGTGCTTTCGTTACAGCCCCTGGCAATGGCCTGTGTTTGGCTTTGATAATCCAGACGATAGAAATATACATTATGGTTGTTTTGTAGGTTAATAGCGGCCATATGTTTAGTGAATAAATATGTCGGACAACCCATAAGTAAATCACCAAAAAATTGATAAAAAGCCCATTGAAGGGCTGGTGGGCTACCGATGTCGACACCATTAAGGTAAAAGTCGGCCACTTTATCAGCAACTAATCCATGGTATCGTTTCTCCGCTGCCCTGATATATGTCTTAAAGTCATCGATGGTTTTAATGTTGGTGTAGTTGTACTGTACGGCCAGTATTGAGCCCTCCGTACGGGTAATGCCGGACAGTATGTCTATATCTAAGGATTACATGTTTAAATTTGAGGGTTAATTAATGTATCATTGTGATTTAATAAAATACCCGAGTTCAATTGTTGAGTTTTAAATGCATTTTTAGCACTAATTGGTAGAAATTCTGTGCCTAATATCGGGAATGATATCACTTTTGTCGATAGTTTTAGCATATCTTCGGCGCTAATGTTTCGCAAACATTGCAACCAATGCACAGTTTGGCTACAATTAACGTGTTGTGCCATTTGTATGCCCTGTGCTATGGACTCAGCTTTTGACTGCACGTCCCTATCCTTATTGAACAGATGGGCGCCGCTCTCCAGTATAGCCCTCTTGAATAGGCCTTTAGATAACGGGGAGAGTATGTGCGCCGATACGGACCGACTGCCAGCGCTCTCACCAAAAATGGTGATCTGATCCCTATCTCCGCCAAATGAGTGGATGTTTTCTCTAACCTATTATTATGTCATTAATTTACAAATTATTTTAATAGTAAATAGAAATTATAATTAAAACAAGCGATCAATTGATACCCATTTGAGAGCCAATAACTGGTCATAAAAGCCGACATTTCCGGGCGCGTCCTCCCGATCCCCGTATAGGAACCCAAACTGTCCTAACCTATAGTTTGTGGACACAATCACCACATCATGTGTGGCCAAAATGGACCCGTTGTATGACTCAAAAAAAATTGACCCTCGTACAAAAGCCCCGCCATATATCCAAAACATGATGGGTTTGAGCTGTGATTTGTTTGTGTTATTATTGCCCGCATTTGGTGTCCATATGTTTAATACCAAACAGTCTTCACTTATTGTTAAAGACTTTGATGACTGCATACAAGAGTTGCCACGTTTTGTGCCATCGATAACATCCTTAACATAATAATTTGTTTTACCATTTTAAATAATTTGTATTTCTGCATTTAATTAACTAAATAATTATAACTTTACAAATTAAATGTGTTAATTAAGTGTCATAATTTATTTATTATTAATAATTACAATAATTATTACATACTTGTGTGGGTTGTTTGAGTGGTACGGGCGGTGCGAACCTCAGATCCCCGATCGGCGGCTCAGCGAACGGTATATTCAAAAACTGGTCAACAGTTTTGTTGAGCACATGTAGTGTCAGACCTCTCACTACACCCGATGTTGTGTTTACTTCAATGCTATTTACATTTAAATTTGTTGATAACTTTAAAATAAATATAATTAAACAACAATAATCTAGAAACATTATTAGTAATTTTAATTACGGCAATAAAAACTAATTTATGTTGTTAGTTTTTATGTTACATTACATGTTATTCATACATTATTGTACACGTTAACATTAACAAATATAGTTAGTATTTATTCAGCCTATTCTCATTGATTAGATAATAAAAAGCAAATATTTATCTACTATTAAATTATAGTTAATAATGTAATATCATATTAATAAACGTATGCATGTATACGGTATTCATAAAACATATCTAAATGCAAATCTGTCATAATCATTTTGATAAATAATATTTTGGCATTGATATTAATAGGAATTAAGCATGGTATCAATATTTAATAAATGACAGGTTTTCACTATCAGTGAAAGCACGTGTTAAATAAGATCTGTATTTAAAGTGATAACATTATTATAGTTAACATTAGTTCTTGTATTAAAATCAAATAATTCATTTGAGAAGTGAACACATTTTTGTGTTTATTTTTAAAAAATGTGTTCAAAATTAATGAGTGTTTCGTTGATTGAAATGAAGAGTAAATTAAATGCAATGAAGAGTTTGTGTGAAATAATAGACAAAATTCAGTGTATTTTGAATACAAATAATAGTGTTTTGTGTGAAGCGATTGAATGCAAAAATAATGATTATTTTTCAATTATTCAAACAATTGATTGTAATTCATGTAAAATCAGTGATAAAATGCTAAACAATTGTCATATCATTACTAAATCTGATGATTATTT